TTATTTTAAATAAAAAAAAGACTTTTATTTAAAAAAAAAACACTGCATATTAAGTTTTAATTCTTTATTGCTCAAACACTGTCATCCTTTTTTCTTGTCTTTTGTGTGTGTGTGTGTGTGTGTGTGTGTGTGTGTGTGTGTGTCCATGCGTGTTTTTGTACAGGGGACAAACCAGGAGAGATTGGCATTATTGTGGCCCTGGCTATGCTTATCTGTGGGATTTTCCAGTGGGCTGTCATCACCAGCATCGCTGTAGATGGGATGGTATGTCAGACACACACACACACACACACACACACACACACACACACACACACACACACACACACACACACACACACACACACACACACACACACACATAAAGCTATTGTCAATATATACCAAACAGTCAATGGCCAGTTATAAGTTGTTGAATTCAGGCAGATGAACACCTAAGAAGGTTTTGTTAAATAAACCTGCATTTCAGACAAAGGTTTTACTGTTAGTCTATTTCACTATTGATGGTACTGACTTCTGGTTCACCACACCTATGGAAAAAAAACTTGGATGTTTCTCTATGTTAGTATTTTCCTTCTTCTACTTCTCTTCATCCCAGCTGGTTTACTTCTGTTAATAGGAAGATTTTCCTCACTGTTGTCAAGTTCTTGCTCAATATACATTGTTGGAAGGTTAGAATTCTGTAGTATCTAAATTTTGTGTGGTCTTACAGTATAACATGTCTCATGGGCACTATTGCTATTCTTTTGGTACTAAAACGATGACTGTTGTTACAATAGCATGCTTTATGCACTTTTCCCTTTGGGAACTGAATCCCACCTTTGCAGAATATAACCTCTCCAGCTCAGACACACTGTGCCTCATTTTCTTCAACAAGATGCCTTTCAGTCAATGGTGACCTGTAGCTACTGTTTGTAAGAGGTTTAGATCTCGTTGTTGAGATAAAAGCAATTGGCCAATAAATTCACAGCATATAGGTCAGTGAGACACTAGATGGTGACACTGTATTCTTAGTGAAGTGGGGTTTTTCCTCACCCAAGATGCTTCTTACTCAAATAGAGAAAAGCACATCTCAGATGGGTATGGTGGTTAATAGTTGTGGCTCCTTATACTATATGTCAGTTTGTTTACACCATCAAAAAGGCAGTCAGCAGCAGATTAAAGATGGCAATGGCCATTTTTGTTCTGTGTAACAGCACTTTGTTGACTTAGCATGGCTTACCAATATTGGAGGATACTGCAGGGTTTAAGATCAAAGAGAGAAAGAGCAGGCTGAACTGCCTGTACTTCAGCTTTTGCTCTTTTTTAAGACTTAAGTTTGTGCCCATCCATCAGGTTTTTTTCTCCCACATTGTTGTTAGTGAATCTTACAGAGCTTATCACAGTGTAGGACATTCTGTTCAGTATGGACACAGGCTCTCAAGATGGTGGTAGTGATGTGTGTTTGGGAGAAGTTAGATCTGTTCAGTCCAATATGAATTGTGTTTGTGTGTGTGACTGTCTCTGAATTATATTTTCAGTGATACTAAAATAGCCATTAAAGTAACTTCTGATAAGCACACTTTCATTGCATTTTAAGAAAAAAGTTTATCTGCAGAATGTCAACTTCTCTACAGCTAAGATAAGGAAATGGGATGTAAGGAAGCATCCCTTTTTTTTTTAAACTTTTTACATGTGGGGGGCGTGGCAGCAATCTTCCACTCCAGCTTATTAATCATCCAAAGACCCAGACAGCGTTTCACGTCTTTTGAAAGCCTGATGCTTGGCCTTGTCCACCCTGACTTGAAGACTCAAAAAACATTTTTATTACTTATCTATTATCCACCTGGTGGACAATAGATAACCAGACAATGGTTATCTCTTGACAATAGAGTTCTTCAGAGACAATCTGATTTTTTTGACTCTTTTTCTGATTTGGTGTTCAGTTCAGATAAAATCATTATTGTGGGTGATTTTAACATGTAGATATTGAAAACATCAACAGAATATTTAATCTAATTTTAGACTCAACTGGCGTCTCTCAAAATGTAAAAGAACCCACCCATGACTTTAATCACACTTTGGATCTTGTTTTGACACGGCAAAGAAACTGAACACTTAAGTATTCACCAAAACCCTCTTTCGTCTGGTCATTTCATATAATAATAACATTACAATTACAGTAATGGGGTACATGGCACTGGGGAATACATTTCGTCACAGATGTCTTTCAGAAAATGCTGTTAATTTTAAGGATATCATTCCTCCAGTATTATCTTCTTCAATGCCATGTGCAAACACAGTGCAGAGCAGCTGCATGAACTGATGTTCTTGTTAATAGTTTTATATCTTCATCAGGTATGACTTTGGATATTGTGGCTCCTCTGACAAAGAAAGCCTCAAATCAGTACTTGACTCTCTGGTAAAACTCCCAAACGTGAGCAAAGCAGATAACTCATAACCTGGAGAGAAAATGGCATCTCACTATTTAGAAGATCTTCATTTAGCCTTGAAATTTTTTTGTTGCTTTATAAAACAGCTCTCCACAAAGCTACAAGCTACAATTGTGTATCTCTCTTCTTCTTAGATGCGTTCAGTGAATCGGGTATTCAAATTCATCGACCTACCATCAGAAGATCCTCGGTTAGGGAAACCTAAAGGAGGTGGCAGAGGCCTTGATATCGTCATCGACAACCCGCATGCACGTGACTGCTGGCCTAACCGTGGCCAGCTGGACGTCCGGGGCCTCACAGTGAAATACACAGAGGCTGGGCGTGCCATCCTCAACAATATCTCCTTCTCTGTGGAGGGGGGACAAAGCGTAAGTCCTTAGTGATTGGTAGAGACTGCCTGTGGAACCTGGCAGGAGAAAGCATGGTACCTCTGCCTAATTAGGTTTACCAAACAAAAGAATAATTCCCCCCAAGCGATAAAGCAATTCAAGTGCCATAGTTAGGTCACAGAAAGGTTGTGAATAATATACTAGCCAGCCACAGGAATGTGTCACAGGGATGGTTACACGTGAACACATTTCTGGCTGTTGTTTTCAGCTAATGTTGTGCAAACAATTTTTTATATTAACACTGAATCTAATTGCTATGCTAAATGGGTTTGTTGGAGTTCTGTTAAACTCTGTTCAGTATTTCTCTGAACCAAACCAGGAGACAAAATTATGAGCTAAGATGGAGATTAAAGCAGACTCCAGAAAAGTGTATGTGGACTGAACTGGAAACACTATTCCAAGTGAAAGTGTTGCTCTGTGCCTACAGATAGGCGAGTGTTTGCTAACAAACTGACAAAAAGTGATAATATCACAGTTCTGTTTATAGCTTTTTCCTTTCCTCCCTAAGTGGCCAAGAACTGTGCATATAGCTTCAAGTTGCAAATTAGAAGAATCTGGGCAGGGAATCAAATTTTTGTACTCATTTATTCATTTTCAAATGAGCAAAATGTTATTTCTCTCTAGAGCTACAATAAGGCTATAACCCTGGCCAAACAATAACACAGACATAACAATCTACTAATGACTAAGTAAGCACGGCCCTGAGTGAGTGTAGGTTATGACATCATGGCATGATGGCATATGACACATGCTTAAAATTAAAGTGGCTTATGATTTTGAATTAGAGTAACCCAGTAACAAGTGGTCATATAGCTTTCAGTAGAAAAGAGAAGACATGCAATATCTGACCACTCGCACGTCTGCTCTCCACCATTGGTTTTGGCAGTAATTATAGTCAGTATGACTTTGTCATAATGAATCAGAGCACAGTAAATATCGGCGCTATAGTTTCGTGCCATTAGACGCTCAATAGCTTCGCGACAAATGTGCTAATTGTTGCTGCACAAGGAAGAAAGAAGAGATGACTTTTAGACCATCTAGACCACAAACTCTTCCCCTCCAAAGATTTAAAAACCCTCCTGTTACGTCCCCCCCACCATGGTTGAGGCAAAGGTAGGAAGGAGACAACAACACTGGACAACCATAATCAATGAAGGAGGAAGACCACAGAACAGTTAAGAATCAGGCAGGATTTATTGGTTGCTTGCCTTGATAGTCAAACTTAACAAAAGAAAAGAGGTGGGGGAGGAGGACTGGGCGGTTGATCCAAATCAAAGAAAACAAAAAGAGGTCGATAGCTTCCAGGGCCTAACTGAAACAAAAAATGCAAAACAAAAGGCCTACCTAGCTACTCGACAAAAGGTCAGTGAAAACATACAAGAGTGGCATCAACCGCATAACCTAGTGTGACTAACAGATTAAAACCTGCAACCAGTGTATAGGGTACCCCAGCTTACCCGTCCAGCCTCCCACCACACACAATACAAAGAAGCCTGTTCGCAAATGTTTGTCATAAAGCAGAAGCCACCAGCCACCAGCTGGCCAGGGAGCTGCTCATTTGTAGTGATCCTCGGAGAGTGATTGGCCAACTGTGCCCAGACCAGCCAATAGACACATGCCAGTCAACTTTGAACTGGCCAACAGGTGGAGGCTTGACACCTGAAAGATAAAAAGAACAAAAGCAAATCCACATCTCTTGGCACATAACACCCCCATTAAAAGAAACATCAGCCCTTTTGTGTAGCTCATAGATGGAAGGAGCTATTTCAGTGTTTCAAATTATTATTAACTATTTCAAATTAAAATTTCAATTAAATGGAGTAATGGAGAGAAGGATAACAAAAATTCAAGTAACAACAATAGATCCCTTTTTGTAAGGTGCGAACAACTTTTAGTGGTGCTTCTGAAGAAACTGATGTTAATACGACGCCAGCTTATTTCATGTTCTGTGTGAATAGAAATAAGGTAAATGCTGATATGTCTTTTTGCAGGGCACAAGTAAACTGACACAGTAGCCAATGTACACAAAATTGCTGGTGATGTAGAAGTGCATGGTCCATGCAAATGAAAAAGTGCTGTCATCTATATTACAATAAAAAGATGAGCATTCAGACACAAGGTCAATGAACCCGTTCAACATGAGGGCATGTTGAACGGGTATGAGCATTTAACATGAAAATGTTATGACTGTGTGCAGGTTGGTCTGCTGGGTCGAACAGGTTCAGGGAAGAGCACCCTGCTGTCTGCTCTGCTGCGTCTCACCTCCACAGAAGGAGACATTTCTATCGATGGTGTTTCCTGGAACTCTGTCTCATTGCAAACATGGAGGAAGGCCTTTGGTGTGGTGCCACAGGTATATCTATGAGTGATTAACTTCTGATATTTAATGCAGTTTCAGACAGTTACCCTACCATCTACTGCTTATCTGGGTCTAAAAACGCTCTAAGCCAGTGGTTCCCAAACTGTTTTTTGCTAGGCCCCCCTTTGTCTTACAAGAAAAATGACTTAATGTTTTGAAACTTAAGTCATTATTCTTGGATGTTACAAGATATCTTTTTAATCCAGTCTGTTGAGAGTTAACTGTTTAAGTCTCTGGTCTTTCTTGAACAGAAAGTCTTTATCCTGACTGGAACTTTCCGGATGAACCTGGACCCACATGGAAATTACAGCGACACAGAATTGTGGAAGGTGGCTGAGGAGGTGAGGAGGAGGCGGTGTTTTCTTTGTCTCCTAATTTAGTTATGATTGGTAAACCAGCCTTGTTTTGATTCAATTAGAGATAATAAAGCTCATGTTTTGGAGTTAGACACAATCTTACATGCCCTCTTTGAGTTTTCCCCTCATGCTAGGAATAAATATGAGAAATAAGCCATAGAAGATTAAATATTTTGCCACATAGGATGGAATTATTGTACTGTCTGCATAGGACAGTGATGTTGGTAAAATTACTGCCATGCAGTTTTACCACCATTTCAACATTGATGTCATGAAGTTTACACTAATATTTTAAAATGATAAAAATGAGGTAAAGATAATATGAACTTCGGACTTTCAGTAAAATTAAACTCTGTCTTGTGTGCCCTCAGGTGGGTCTGAAGTCTGTGATTGAGCAGTTCCCAGACAAGCTAGACTTTCAGCTGGAGTATGGAGGCAGCGTGCTGTGCAATGGACACAAACAGCTGGTTTGTCTTGCCCGTTCCATCCTCAGTAGAGCCCGTATCCTGCTGCTGGATGAGCCATCTGCCTACCTTGACCCTATGTGAGTATTAAACACTGTCTACTCAATAATCAACATATATAAATCACATTTGATTTAAAAATATCACTAGACCAGTATATGGGGCTTACATGTGCTGTTAAATGGTCACTAGAGCGGTACTTTTATAATACCTTTCTACTCACTTGAGCACTCAATGTGCTTTCTACTGCAAGTCTCATTCATCCTGTCACACAGCACTTTTATGTATGTGCAGTGTTTTCTAACTGCTGCAAACACAAAGCGATCGATCAGTTAACCTTCTGATTGGTAGATGAGATGCTCCACCACCTGAGCGATAACCGTCCACAATGATTTAAACAATGAGATCAGTCTCTATGCAAGTAATCCCTTGGATCTAAAAGCTCTTGCTTCAGACTGCTCTATATGCCGGCATTTTTTCTACTTTTAGATCTGTATGATTTGAATCACAAGGTATATCTTTAATATGACCCACCCAGTCTGATATTCAGAGTTTTTATTTGTTAGGGGCCACCAATCAGAAGAAAGTTGTCTTAAAGGAGAAGGAGGTGAAGGAGGCTTGTTTCAGTCAGTCGATGAACTGAGTAGCTACACAAAGACCCAGAAGAACTGTGACTGATTCAAGGCTACTTCAGTAGAATCCAAGGAAAAAATAGCATTACAAGCTCACGGCTGGATTTTCTTTATTCCGCTTAAACAAATAGTCCCATTGAGACTCAGTGTCTGATTTACAAGAGAGACCTGTTTCAGACAAACATATCAAAATCAGAAAAATAAAAGAAAAAATGAAATAGCTAAAGTTAGCTCAAAGGTATTACCCAAAGGTATGACCCTGTGTGACAAAGGAGCGGCGACAAGTAGCTTTCATTAGAAGTGAATAAAAAATGTTTTGTCTATGAAGTTCCTTTGCTAACACA